TGATCCCTGAGGAAACTCTGGAAGGAGAATACCTGTCCTCTAGAGCCATCAGACTTCAGCCACTCCCTCAAGTGAGCCCTGTAGAAACTCAGGAAGGACAGGAATACCTGCAGACTGGCAGCCATCAGGCTGCAGCCACTCTCCATGGTGAGCCCTGAGGAAACTCAGGAAGGAGAATACAGGATACCGGCCCCAGATGGTGAGATGCATATGAAAAGGAATGATTTCAATGAGGTGACTCTTCCCATACATAGAAAAGTGCTAAATTCCTTAACTTTAGATGCTGCCTCCTCAGTTTGAAGTCCTAAAAGATTCTTACTGAATAGAACATAACTCTCTATATTTATAACTTAGGTTATAAATATTTTTATGTCTACAGATGTGAAGTAGACACTTTCCAAAGAACAACAAAGGAAGACAAATCTCAACATTTGGAACACTGGTACTGATGGTGGACACTCCCCCAAAGATGAAACTGATGAAGCAGTTAGGACAGTCATCACCCCCTTTTCCATAAAATTGTGGAATGGACACTGACAGTGGGGAATTGTCACAGGGAAGAACAAAATCTGACTCCATGTTGAATGTTTTACTTGAACCTTTGCTTCCCATTGGTTTGTTTACTACAAGGATACTGTCCATGCATAATAGGCTGCCTTGGGGAACCCTGCCCCTTTCCCTTTGTTCAGGGCCCTGTCCACCTGTGGATGGCTACAGGAATGAAGAAGTTAACACATCCCCTCCTGAGGTGGCCATTCCAGGAGATATTTGCAAGATTAATGGCCTTTTTCCTTTATTTCCTCACCTCCCCAGCTCTGTGTTATATAAAAGACACTAGCATCCAGACCCTGACAAGATGGTTACTTTGAGATATTAGTCTGCCATCTTTTCAGTCTGCCAGCTTTTTGAATAAAGTCATATTCCTTGCCTCAACACCTCAGCTCTGCTTTATTGCCCTGTTGTGCGGCAAGCAGCATGAGCTTGGACTCAGTCACAATCCCACATGCCTTGCTGTCAAAAAATGAAAACATAAAAGTGAAGCAATATTGTAACAAATTCAGTATAGACTTTTAAAATGGACCATATCAAAGAAATTTGAAATCAGAAACCAAAAAGAACTCAGTGGTTGTCTGAAATATTTAGTAAAAGAGATGGTGCCCTTCCTGCCAGTAACCCCTAAAGCCACACAGGGAACGCAACCTAGGCGGTCTCTTCTCTCATCTAAGGCAGTGTCACAGCAGCCACCCTGTCTCCCTGCCCATGATAAACACACCATAAAGAGGGTCGTCAGTCCCTGGGCCAGTGATACTGTGAACACCTGGACTGCCTTGTCCTTGTGAGATTTGATATGGAGACAACACAGAATGAGAACCAGCCAAGAAGGATCTGGTCAGGAGTAAACCCCTCTTCACAAGGACCCTGTGAGACTCAAGCACTCGTTCTGCTCACCCTGAACCGACTTTTGGGAACTGTCATTCTCTGGACAGGAAGTGGGAGGGATAATCCTGTCTCTTTTCTACCTCGAGATCCAGGTGGGCATTGGGGGCAGCAGCACCTCCTCCTGGGATCCGAAGAGGGTGTCGTGAAGGGACAGGGCCTACTGTCCAGTGAGGCCGGCCCTTGTCCACAGTGCACTGACCTGCTGCCGGGACTTGGTTTCCCTGGCATCCAGCTTACCCATCACTGACCCTAGCTTGAGGTGACTTGGGAGCCCCTAGCTGGCAGGCACCCAGGAGTAGAAAGCTGCACACTCAGTGAGAAGGAGGAGAAGCAGGCGGGGCAGAGGTCCAACACCAAGTGTCCAAGGCCCCCCTGGTCTCCTGAGAGCAACCAGCCCCACTTGCCAAGGTCTTTCTCCTCCTTAGTATGTATCTTTGTGGTTAATGTTGCCAAACACCTTCCTTTGGAAGAGAAGGCTCTGTGACCATGGGAGGGGTGGAGTTGAGGATGCGCTGTATCCCTAAACACAGGAAGCTCGAGAATTAACTTCCCTGAGCCCTGAACACCCTCCATGTTAAATTTGCACCAACCTAGGCCAAGATCTGGACAGATTCTCTGGGAAGACACTTTTCATGTCCAACAAGAGAAGGTTTGTTAACCCACAAACCCGACCCCGAGACATAGGATGTGTTGTAACCATGGAAGCCACAGGGAAGGTGTTTGAGACGCTTCTTCCTTGGTGTCTTTTCTGAGGCCTCCTTAAGTTACTGGACCTGGAAGGGGAGCACTCACACTTCTCTCCTCACTGCAGGCTGGACAGCACCCCAGTCTCAGCCCCCACTCTTCTGCCTCTCTCTGAGTTAAAGGGAAACCTCTCAGTCATGAGGCCAAAGCACAGTCTTCATGGTGAGCAGAACAGAGGCCTGAGGGAAGGTAAGGTGGAGGCTCAAAGTTTTTGTAGAAAAAAAACATGCACATGCATTCCTGTGTATGGCGGCCAGATACTGTAGTTAACTGGTGTTCCCTACATACTTGTAGGTGGCTTTTAGTTTCTGTAATTTTAAAACTTTTTTTTTTTAAACAGCTGCTTTTGTGAGAAAATTGTTGCTGTCAACCACAAGTACTTGCAAAATAAGATCTTTAAGTTTATCCGAATGTTATAGGAGCTTTCTCTTAGTTACGGATGAACTTTTAAGTATTTATTTAATTGGCTGCGCTGGGTCTTAGTTGTGGCACTCAGGATCTTCAGTTGCTGCGTGTGGGATCTGGTTCCCTGACCAGGGATTGAACCTAGGCCCCCTGCCTTGGGAGCCCAGAGTCTTAGCCACTGGACCACCAGAGAATGCTGCCAGCTCCTATTTTTTTGTTTTTAAAAGATTTATTTATTTTTGTCTGTCCTGGCTCTTTGTTGATGTGTGGGCTTTTCTCTAGCTGTGGAAAGTGGGGGTTGCTATCTAGTTGCTGAGTTGCTGTGCTCGGACCTCTCACTGCAGTGGCTTCTCTTCTTGCGGAGCACAGGCTCTAGGGCACTTGGGCTTCGGTAGTTGAGCACAGGCTTAGTTGCTCCACAGCATGTGGAATCTTCCCAGATCAGGGATCGAACCCATGTCTCCTGCATTGACAGGCGAATTCTTTTTTTTTTTTTTTTTTTTAGTTGGAGGCTAATTACAATATTGTAGTGGTTTTTGTCATACATTGACAAGAATCAGCCATGGTTTTACATGTATTCCCCATCCCGATCCCCCCTCCCACCTCCCTCTCCGCCCGATCCCTCTGGGTCTTCCCAGTGCACCAGGCCCGAGCACTTGTCTCATGCATCCAACCTGGGCTGGTGATCTCTTTCACCCTAGATAATATACATGTTTCGATGCTGTTCTCTTCAAACATCCCACCCTCGCCTTCTCCCACAGAGTCCACAAGTCTGTTCTATACATCTGAGTCTCTTTTTCTGTTTTGCATATAGGGTTATCGTTACCATCTTTCTAAATTCCATACATATGTGTTAGTATACTGTAATGGTCTTTATCTTTCTGGCTTACTTCGCTCTGTATAATGGGCTCCAGTTTCATCCATCTCATTAGAACTGATTCAAATGAATTCTTTTTAATGGCTGAGTAATATTCCATGGTGTATATGTACCACAGCTTCCTTATCCATTCGTCTGCTGATGGGCATCTAGGTTGCTTCCATGTCCTGGCTATTATAAACAGTGCTGTGATGAACATTGGGGTGCACATGTCTCTTTCAGATCTGGTTTCCTCAGTGTGTATGCCCAGAAGTGGGATTGCTGGGTCATATGGCAGTTCTATTTCCAGTTTTTTTAAGAAATCTCCACACTGTTTTCCATAGCGGCTGTACTAGTTTGCATTCCCACCAATAGTGTAAGAGGGTTCCCTTTTCTCCACACCCTCTCCAGCATTTATTGCTTGTAGACTTTTGGATAGCAGCCATTCTGACTGGAGTGTAATGGTACCTCATTGTGGTTTTGATTTGCATTTCTCTGATAATGAGTGATGTTGAGCATCTTTTCATGTGTTTTCTAGCCATTTGTATGTCTTCCTTGGAGAAATGTCTGTTTAGTTCTTTGGCCCATTTTTTGGTTGGGTCATTTATTTTTCTGGAGTTGAGCTGGAGGAGTTGATTGTATATTTTTGAGATTAATCCTTTGTCTGTTGCTTCGTTTGCTATTATTTTCTCCCAATCCGAGGGCTGTCTTTTCACCTTGCTTATAGTTTCCTTTGTTGTGCAAAAGCTTTTAAGTTTCATTAGGTCCCATTTGTTTATTTTTGCTTTTGTTTCTAATAATCTAGGATGTGGGTCATAGAGGATCCGCTGTGATTCATGTTGGAGAGTGTTTTGCCTATGTTCTCCTCTAGGAGTTTAATAGTTTCTGGTCTTACATTTAGATCTTTAATCCATTTTGAGTTTATTTTTGTGTATGGTGTTAGAAAGTGTTCTAGTTTCATTCTTTTACAAGTGGTTGACCAGTTTTCCCAGCACCACTTGTTGAAGAGGTTGTCTTTTTTCCATTGTATATCCTTGCCTCCTTTGTCGAAGATAAGGTGACCATAGATTCGTGGATTTATCTCTGGGCTTTCTATTCTGTTCCATTGATCTATATTTCTGTCTTTGTGCCAGTACCATACTGTCTTGATGACTGTGGCTTTGTAGTATAGTCTGAAGTCAGGCAGGTTGATTCCTCCAGTTCCATTCTTCTTTCTCAAGATTACTTTGGCTATTCGAGGTTTTTGTATTTCCATACAAATTGTGAAATTATTTGTGACAGGCGAATTCTTAACCACTGCACCACCAAGGAATTTTCCCCCCACCGCTGCTGGCAAACCTCCTATTTTAAAAAAGGACTAAAACAGCCTATTTAGTAAGTTTTCAGGAGTCTGAGCTTTGAGATCAGCCTCTGTGATGTCCTAATCCCAAAGGCAGCCCAGCTTCAGATATTAGCCAGGCTCATAGGACCGGCGACCAGGGCAGGGTATGGCAGCTGAAGACAGGCTTATCCTCTGGTGCTCCACCCTCACTTGCTCAGCCTGGGTCCCCGAGCCATGGCAGCCAAGCAGAGCAGCGAGCCGGTGGGGCTGGTCCAGTTGCGGGGCCGCTGCGGTGAGAGTGGAGCGGGCGGTGGAGGCAGCTGGCCGTCCTGTCACCGTGACTTCTGGTGTCCTGTATTCAGGACAGTCATGGTGTCAGGTGGAGGCCTGGCTGGTGTCGTGGGGACAGGATGGGGCCTAAGCTCACATCCCCACCCCCCCACTCCCAGATTGTGGCTCGTGGCTGCTGGCAGCTCCCTAGGACTGGGAGGGTGTGTATACCACCAGCCCCCTTGCTCGAGGTGAGCTGAGACCCCAAGCTCTGGAGTCACACACCATCACTGCCACCATGAAGGTCATCCCACTTCTGTGAAGGAGAGCTTGTGCGGGGCTGTGGGTGATGGGGGATTTGGGGGTGTTGTGGGCTGGCACAGGAGTGAGCTTTTTGAGGGGAGGGGAGAGTCAGAGGAGGGGAGGGGAGGAAGAGGCATTGAACTACTCAGCCTTCCAGGGGATTCCAGGCCCAGGTCTGGAGGGAGGTGCAGGTGAGAAGCCCCTGCAAGTTTCTGGGACCTCCTTCCCACCATATTTCAGTTGAAGCCCCTCTGCCTGCATCACCCCTAACTCTCCCTCCCGTGGCCCCTGCCAAAAGCCACAGAAGATGGACAGTTTGTGTTGCTTTCCTTCCTGTAGGGAAACAAAGCCACAAACATATTGCTTTAAGAAAGCATGAAAGAAATGAGAATAGTGTGGTTATTATTGACAGATTCATGTAGAGATGCTTCACAAGCCTGGCACAGGGAAGGGACTGTGAGCTGGTTGCCCCCAGTCCTGGGGTTTGCCTCCCCTTGCAATGGCCCACACTCTCCTTGGTGTCTTCTGGTGACCAGGCAGATTTCAGCCTCCTGAACACATCCTGGAAGGATCAGGACAAGAGCAGAGGTCGTTCACAAAGGGGAGGGTGTGGTCAGCTCTAAGAAACACCTTTGCCTCCTCTCTGTGTTGGAACTCAGCTCTGGGTCTAAGCAAGTGTGGCTTCCTGGCACGGTCACCACCCTCACTCACCTGGGGGATGCTTTGTGTCCACCTCGTCCCCACGTGCAGCCTGCTCAGCTCCACTGCTGGGGCCCTGAGGCCCATGCTGTGTGCATCTGCTCTGCTCTTAGTGCACCGTGTGGTCCATTAGACTTCACTCATAAAAGTTAAGTGTAAGGATGAAATGTTCCATAGTTAAGAATTTCAAGGGGGCGACAGCATTGACTTAAGCACCTGGGCTCAGGTACAAGACCCGTGCATTAGAGAAGCTACTGTGTGGGCTTCAAGGACACTGAGACACTTGGCTTATCCGCTTTCTGCACATGCGGCTCTGGACTCCGTTCCTGACAGGGTGGGCGATTGTCAGCACTGCCTGCCTGTGTGGAGGGGCTCTGGGACTGCCCGGCTCAGTGGGAACAGCAGTGGTGGGAAGGGAGGTCACCCTCCCTTAGCGTCCCTGGCCTTACATCTCCTCATCAGGACAGCTGAATGCCTGAACGGCCCCTTCCTTGTCTAGCTCCGAAGACCTGGAAGATGTGGATGCTGAAGGACATGCAGGATATAACAAAGAACAGCAAAAGCAGGGCTTGCATTCTCAGCCAGATTCTGCCTGTACTTATGCATCAGACCAAAACACTGGTGCTCCCATCCTGTATCACAGATTAGAACTGAGGCACAGAGAGGCTGAGCACCTTGCCCCAGGTCACACAGCTGGTGAGGGCAAGGCTGAGAATTGGCCCACTGTGGTTGAATCTGGAGTCCAGATGCTGTGATGACCTTGAGGGAGGAGCAAAGACTGAGTGAAGGAGATCAGATGGCCCAGACTGAGCCAGGCACAAATGTATGCACACATGCATGCATGCATACACAGACATCCATGTGGCCTTCACCTTTGAGGCTACAGAAGTCAGAGGAAACTAGAGGGGAACCAGGAGAGGCCAAAGAAGACTGGAGGTCTATTAGGAGGAAAGACCACACTTCCCAGGAGACCAGGGAATTCCCTTCCCTGGTGAGTCTGTCTCAAACCCTAGATTCCTCTTCGTGAACCCAGGAACTGACTATCCAGTGACCTAGTGTCCAGTCTGAGTTGACTCCAGACTTATGCCTTCCTGGGGGTTCAGCTCCCACTGGACCCCAATGCTCTCAGTAATAATGGGGGAATGAGGTATGTAGACTGGGCTTCAGATTTGTTTGGAGACAAAATTTATTAGAAGAGGAGTTAAAAAAACCATGAAGGGAACTGGCATGAACATCTCCAGAATACTAAAGAAACCCTCTGCTGTTTACCTCCTCTCATGTCATGAAAGTGGAAAGTCTATTTAATCAATTAGTTCTGTCCTCATCATACTCTTTCTTAAAAAAAAATTATTTATTTGGCTGTGTTAGGTCTTAATTGCAGCATGTGGGACCTAGTTCCATTGAACATGGGTCTTTGCATTGGGAGCATGGAGTCTTAGCCACTGGACCACCAGGGAAGTCTCTCATCACACTCTTGGGGAGTGTGATGGGTCATAGACCTCCTTTGAGGCCCCGTCAGAGCTAAGGTGTGGTGGCTACAGTAATCCTCCTGTGGCTAAGATGTGGTTTATTGGTAATGATTCACTCACCCTCCCTAGAAGCACAGGGCTTCTCCCCTGTGTGTGTCCTCTGGTGTGTGATGAGATGTGACATCTGACTGAAGCTTCGCCCACACTCCCTGCAAACAAGGCTTCTGCCCTGTGTGTGTCCTTTGATGTGTGATGAGAGTTGACTTCTTACTGAAGCTTCGCCCACACTCCCTGCAAACACAGGGCTTCTCCCTCGTGTATCCTCTGGTGTGTGATGAGAGTTGACTTCCGACCAAAGCTTCACCAAAACTCCCTGCAGACATAGGGCTTCTCCCCTGTGTGTGTCCTCTGGTGCTTAATGAGACTTGACTTCTCATTGAAGCTTCACTCATATTCCCTGCAAACACAGGGTTTCTCCCCTGTGTGTGTCCTCTGGTGTGTGATGAGACTTGACCTATCCTTCGAGCCTTGCCCACAGTCTCCATACTTGACTCATAATTCTTGAAACTCCTTCCCCCATGAATAATTTGCCTGTGTCCTCTGGATTCACTTCCTGGCCTGTCTCTTCCCTCATTCTCTTGTGCACCCTGGAACACCCCATTTGTCCTTTGGATGAGTAGGAAGAGGCCCTTGAAATCCTCCTCAGCCTTAGGCTTTTCAGCAAAGGTTGGGGCTTTTCCTTGGCCTCTAGACTCTCAGGTTTGTCACTCCAGCTGTGTGGATCGGAATATTTCTGCTGCTGATTTTGATTGCCTGGGCAGGGATCTTCTGGTTGGAGGTGGTCTCTTGCAGATGTTTTCAGGAGGACCTGAGAGGGGTGATTGCATGTGACATGTTGGTTCAGGAATTTCTGACTGGAGAAGGCCAGAGAGCAGGAGGCCCATAGTTGGATCTTGGGCTTTGGTTCTGCTGAAAGAGGAAGCTTTTGGTTAGGTAGCTTGTTTGTCATGGTAAGGCCTGCCCCACTAATCATCTTACTGTTGACAGTGCAAGATCTGTCTCCTGTCAAGTGTGTCTTGTTGGATCTCCTTGCAGTTCAAGGGACTCTCAAGAGTCTTCTCCAACATCACAGTTCAAAAGCATCAATTCTTCGGCACTCAGCTTTCTTTATAGTCCAACTCTCACATCCATATATGACTATGGGAAACACCATAGTTTTGAATAGACAACATTTGTTGGCAAAGTAATATCTCTACTTTTTAATATGCTGTCTAGGTTGGTCATAACTTTTCTTCCAAGGAGCAAGAGTCTTTTAATTTCATGGCTGCAGTCACCATCAGCAGTGATTTTGGAGCCACCAAAAATAAAGTCAGTCACTGTTTCCACTGTTTCCCCATCTATATGCCATGAAGTGATGGACCAGATGCCATGATCTTAGTTTTCTGAATGTTGAGTTTTAAGCCAACTTTTTCATGCTCCTCTTTCACTTTCATCAAGAGGCTCTTTAGTTCTTCTTCACTTTCTGCCATAAGGGTGGTATCACCTGCATATCTGAGGTTATTGATATTTCTCTCGGCAATCTTGATTCCAGCTTGTGCTTCGTCCACAACATTTCTCATGATGTACTCTGCATATAAATTAAATAAGCAGGGTGACAATAGACAGCCTTGACGTACTCCTTTCTCAATTTGGAACCAGTTTGTTGTTCCATGTCCAATTCTAACTGTTGCTTCTTGACCTGCATACAGATTTCTCAGGAGGAAGGCGGTCTGGTAGTCCCATCTCTTAAAGAATTTTCCACAGTTTGTTATGATCTACACAGTCAAAGACTTTGGCATAGTAAATAAAGCAGATGTTTTTCTGGAACTCTCTTGCTTTTTTGATGATCCAACGGATGTTGGCAGTTTGATCTCTGGTTCCTCTGCCTTTCTAAGTCCAGCTTGAATATCTGGAAGTTCACGGTTCATGTACTGTTGAAGCCTGGCTTGGAGAATTTTGTGCAATACTTTGCTAGCGTGTGAGATGAGTGCAATTGTGCAGTAGTTTGAGCATTCTTTGGCATTGCCTTTCTCTGGGATTGGAATGAAAACTGACCTTTTCCAGTCCTGTGGCCACTGCTGTGTTTTCCAAATTTGCTGGCATACTGAGTGCAGCACTTTTACAGCATCACCTTTTAGGATTTGAAATAGCTCAACTGGAATTCCATCACCTCCACTAGCTTTGTTCGTAGTGATGCTTCCTAAGGCCCACTTCACTTTACATTCCCAGATGTCTGGCTCTAGGTGAGTGATCACACCATCATGATTATCTGTGTCATGAAGGTCTTTTTTGTATAGTTCTTCTCTGTATTCTTTCCACCTCTTCTTAATATCTTCTGCTTCTGTTAAGTCTACCATTTCTGTCCTTTATTGTGCTCATCTTTGCATGAAATGTTCCTTTGGTAGCTTTAATTTTCTTGAAGAGACCTCTAGTCTTTACCATTCTATTGTCTTCCTCTACTTCTTTGCATTGATCACTGAGGAAAGTATTCTTATCTCTCCTTGCTATTCTTTGGAACTCTTCATTCAAATGGGTATATAGTTCCTTTTCTCCTTTGCCTTTTGCTTCTTTTCTTTTCATAGCTATTTGTAAGGCCTCCTCAGACAGCCATTTTGCCTTTTTGCATTTCTGTTTTTTGGGGATGGTTTTGATCACTGCCTCCTCTGCAATGTCACGAACCTCCATCCATAGTTCTTCAGCTACTCTATCAGATCTAATCCCTTGAATCTACTTGTTACTTCCACTGTATAATCGTAAGGGATTTGATTTAGGTCACACCTGAATGGTCTAGTGGGTTTGGCCTACTTTCTTCAATTTAAATCTGAATTTGGCAATAAGGGGTTCATGATCTGAGCCACAGTCAGCTCCCGGTCTTGTTTGTGCTGACTGTATAGAGCTTCTCCATCTTTGGTTGCAAAGATTATAATCAATCTGATTTAGGTATTGACCATCTGGTGATGTCCATGTGGGTCTGGTAAGATCTTTCTATTTTTAGTTCTAATCCTGTTATCTTAAAAATATATATTGTGGTAGTGTGGGTCTGGTAAGACCTTTACAGACTTGAGACATTCTTTTGATTATTGTTAATAGCCAATTGAAAAGTATATAGCTCCTTTGCTAAGACTAGCAAGGGGGCACCCTCCATCCCCCTTCTGATGTCTATGTCAGAAGCTTTTTCTGTTCCTTTTCATACTTTAATAAAACTCTGCTACACAAAAGCTCTTGAGTGGTCAAGCCTGGTCCCTGTTCCTAAAGCTAAACCTTCTTCAGAGATCATGAATCCAACACTGTTCACCATAAGCTGTCACTGCGCCACACCCCTCTTCTGGTCACACTGATCTGAGGCACTTTTCCTGGACTGTTTTTCCCTCAGAGAACCAGCCCCTGTCTGGTATTAAGCACATGCTACCCCAGGGCAGGAGTTCTGTCCGTTTCAGTGCGTGGAGCCCTGTCTTGCACAGAGTATGAACTCACATGACAACGAACTGAAACAGTGGCTGAATGGAAATCAGTGTACACATGTCACTTAGAAATGTGGAGGAAATGAGGAAGAAACAGCTAAAGGTGAGAGAGCTGGTAGGTGCTAGAAAACTTGCTTTTTGCCTCTAAGCCTTTCAGCAGAATGTGATGTTACATACTTTTTGCATGAAATATTAAAAATTAGAATTAACATTTTTAATAGAAAATTTTTTTCCTAACAGTCATATGAAGTGAAACAATTTCTGAGGCATTTTAATTGAGACTTCACTGACTTCAGACTGGACTGTACTCTGCTTTAGAGCTGGGCCAGGGAAGCTCCCCAGGATGGCGTAGGGTGCTGGAAGAGTGGTGATGCTTACCTCTCCTGGTCATGAGCTCACTCTTCCACCTGCTGCCCCACTTGATGCCGAGCTCCTGGCCATACTCATCGCTGTACCAGACCAGCAGCTCACAGCCCGGCCTGACCACCCGGCAGGTTCAGTAGATCTGCCTGTGATACTGGAAGGCCACCAGATTCTGCTCCTCGTTGTCCTGAGCACAGTTCACATACCTGGGGTGGAGGTTGGAAAAGGGAAAGAAACCACAGATAATGAGTTCCTTCCACATGTCAGACCCACACCCAGCTCCTCACCTTCAGGCTCTGAGGCCATCACTGCTCCC